AATGCACCTGGGAAGAGGATGGACGACAGCCCAAATGCCTGGGCCCCGCCACCTGCCTGGGGAGCCAGGGCGGAGTTTTCGAATCCTGACTTTAGCTTTGCCAGCACCTGGCTGCTGTTGCCGTCTGGGGATGAACTGGTGGATGGGACATCTCTTCTCTCTGTATCTCGTTCTCTGTCTGTCGCTCTGCCTTTCATATAAATATATCTTTCTGGCAAAAAGTTAACCATCTGTGTGGTGGGGAGGCCGGGGTTGGATTCCCCCCAGGTCTGAATGACAGTAATACGAACGTTCACCGCACAGTGTGCTGGTGGAGCCTCCGGAAGGCTTCCGGTGTGGCTGTCACTGTGCCTGCAGACAGGCAGTGTGAGTGAGCGGCTTCCCCGGAGTCAGATAACGCGTGGAAGAAGGCAGCGTGCTGGACCATCCAGTGTTTCCTCGCTCTGCCTCGCTACCCTGAGCTCTGACGCCCACGTTCCCTGTCGGAAGCTCACCTGGTTACTGGCGTCCCAGGAACTCGTTGACTGCAGGGAGAAAGCCGAGGGGAAGTGGGTGCCGCGGGCCTCTGTGGAGTGCGTGTGCAGGGTCTGTGCACAGAGAGACGGCGTCTGCTCAGGGCCTCCCTGACCCCGCCTCCCTGTAGCCTTGAGAATCACGGGCAGGTCCCCGGGTTGTGCTGCCTTTGACGGGGATGGCTGCTAAGTGCCACCCCGTCCCACTTCCTTCCTCCTGTTCACACAGGGCCTGGGAGACACGCACCCCTGTCCTCCCCTGCAGTGCCCTGGGATTGGAACAGGGTCGATTCCCGACTACACGGGTCAGCACCTGGCTGTGCTGTGGCCTGGGCGCTCTCTGCTCTCCCAGCTTCCTGCCTGTTTGTTTTGCTAGTCGCTGGGCTGGGGTTGCCCCACTCGGCTCAAGCCCAGAGTCTTGTTGGATGCCCTGCACCAGCCAAGCCCGGCTCCCTCAGCAGGGCACACCTGGCACCTGTGGCCAGCTCCTGGCTGCTCACCCCTCGCACGGAGCACACTGGGAGGTCCCCCTCACCTCTGCACACAGCCCCACCCACCCCTGCCACTGGCCACGCACAGCCCTGTCCCTGGGCTGGATCAGTGCCACTCAGACCTGGCCCTGCCTCTGGACTCTGGCAAGCCAGGACTGCACTGGGGAAACTGAGGCAGGCTTCTGTTCTCAGGACTTCCATCAAGGTGTTCAGTGGGACTGTGAGGGCCAGGGCTGCGTGAGGATGGGTGACCACGTCCATTGTTCTTCCGGCTGTCAGAGAAAGCGGCAAGGCCCGTGTGCCTGCCTGGCTTCGTCGTGGGGCCTGAGCTGTCTGTCCCGGGCAGCACCGCTGCTGGAGCAGAATTCACTGCCGCCCTGCGGCCTCCCCGGGGCAGGCAGAAGGAGCTCAGAGCTGCAGGGGCCCCGGCGCCGCCATAACCAGCCTCATCCCGCAGCTTTCTCCCGGGCCCTGGTGGTGAGGAAGTGCACCCCGGTCTCTGCCGAGAGTCGGGAACCTTCTGCTCCTGCCAGGAAACCTGTCAGGGACCCCAGCGCTTCTGAGGAGCCCACCCCATAGTAAACAAAGCCGAGAGGGGGCTGGGCTTCCCCCGTCCTCAGAAACCCAGCACACCCAGCAGGGCACACGCAGTGAGAGGCGTCACAGCCTGGGTTCAGTCTCCATGGTGTAATTGGATACGCGTCCTCAGCTCATTTTAATTGCTTTAAGAAACTGCCTTGCGTTGTAGATCAATCCAGAGGTCTGAGATGACATTTCCCTTGCGAAGTTAATTATTAATACCCTGATCGTTGGCTTGACGTCCGTACCGTCCATCGATCAGCACATGCTGCCTCTGTGAAGTGACCTGTTGGCCAGGCCTGGCCGGGCGGCTCCGAGCACCCCGGCAGAGCCCCCGAGCAGGGCTGGAGGCCCCTCTGTCTTCACCTGCGGTCCAGCGGTGCAGGGACGACGGCCGTCCTGGTCAGCAGGACAATGTTGCTGACTGTGTGGTCCGCGTGCACCCAGGCACCCTGGGTGACCTGGGTGGTGCTGGCCCCAGACTCATCCACGCCCATGTCTGTGCCAGGAGGCACAGCGAGATGCGGAGCCCCAGGAGCTTAACAACACTGGGGCTCCCACGCCATGTACAGATACTGCAGCACCACACTGTGTACCATAAATAGATGCTGTTTTTCTCTGTTAGTTAAAAAGTAATATACACTTAAATTGAGAGGCCAGTATTGTGGTGCAGGGGGCAAATCCATCATCTGCAAGGCCAGCATCCCACGTGGCTGCTGGTTCACGACCCGGCTGCTCCAGTTCCAGTCCAGCTCCCTGCTAGTGCTCCTGGGAAAGCAGCAAAGACGGCCAAGTGCTTGGGCCCCTGCACCCATGTGGGAGACCCGGAAGAAGCTCCTGGCTCCTGGCTTTGGTCTGGCCCGGCCCCAGCTGTTGTGACCATTTGGGGAGTGAACCTGGGGCTGGAAAATCAGTTGATCTCTCTCCTCCTCTCTGTGTAACTCTGCCTTTCAAATAACCAAATCATGTATGCATGAAAAGCTGAAGTGTGTGCTGGGCTCCAGTGATGACGCCTGCTGTGCGTTCCACGCTGCGTGGCCTCGAGCAGGGAGGTCCCTGTGCTGCTGCCATGGAGTGAGGTCCGGGAGGACAGAGGGGAGCCCTGCCATTTGGGGGTGGGAGGTCCAGTGCTTCCACGGGGAGGAGCTTTAAGCTCAGGCACTCCCGGAGCATGTGCTGGGTGGGCTTTGGCCCGGTGGTTCAAACGCCCACATCCCACACTGCAGGATCCAGCCCTGGCTCCTGACCCGAGCTTCCTGCCAGCGCCTACCCTGGAGGCAACGGTGCCTTTCAGATCATTGGGTTCCCCCAGCGCCACCTGTGTGGGAGACCTGGCCTGGGCTCCTGGCTCCCAGCCTCAGCGCCAACCCCGCCTGGCCAGTGTGGGCACTCAGGGAGTGAACCAGCAGATGGGAGCTGCCTCGCTCTCTCTCTGTCACCTCTCTCCTCCCTCTGTCTCTGCCTTCCAAGTAAATAATATGTATTCTTAATTTTGTAGAAATCAGAGTTAAAAGATGTTTACTTTGCTACAAAAATTTTTGAAGTTCATGCATGGTTTTTTGTAACATGCATTTTCATAAGCTTTGGTCCATGGGTTTCAGAATTTTTTTTACACCAAAATAAGCTGCCCACGACCCTCTGGAAGCTCCCTGGCACGTGCGCCCGGCGTGCAGGCTGGGAGACGGCTGGGGCGGGGGAGGGGAAGCGCCCTGGAGTCCGCGTCTCCACCAGGCCCTTGTCTTCCTTTCAGCCTCTCTGCTCTAACTGGGTTTCCAGCAGGAGGACACTTCCAGACGTCTGTGGGGAAAATGGAGTTAAAAGTCCGAGCTTACATTTACGTGAAAAAAATGGAAATTCAAGCTCAGTTCTTAAAAATATATATATATATGTATATATATGAAATACTTGGTTTCCTTGTATTAGGGAGAAGAAACTGCAGCATTTATTTTTACCCACGTAATCTTATGCTCTTGCTCCCAGTTTCCATGACCCTGTTGCCCTTGTATGCAGAAGTGGAGGGCTTTCCGGCAGACTGGAAGGTGCGTCCACTCCTGCAGCCCCTGGTCTGCCCACACCCAGGGGCCCGGGGCCCGGGGAGGGACGTGCCCCCTGCAGAGGGCCAGGCCTGTCTGCCCCCTTGCACACTCCCGCCCGTGTTCCCACTTGGCGCACACAGCAGCGCGCCCTCTGGTTCTCCTGCTGTCGGAGCCCTGGGAAGAGCCTCAGCTCTCAGCAGTGCTCTGGGTGTGGCCGAGTGGACGAGCAGCCCCCGGGTGCCTGGGTGTGGCCGAGTGGCCGAGCAGCCCCCGGGTGCCGTGTCTGTGGCATTGGAGAAAAAGCACTCGGAGCAGAGGGAAGCAAGTGCTGGGATGTTGGGGTGGCCGCGGTTAGGCCGCACCTGATTTTGTTCTAAGAACCTGGACTGCTATGTAGGGTCCCTCGTGCTCAGCCCTCATCCAGTTCCCTGGCACCTCTTCTGTGTTTGCTGTGTGTGAGAGTGTGTGCATGTGAGAGTGTGTGCACGTGTGTGAGTCTGAGTGTGTGACTTTGTGTGTCAGAGTGGATGCTTATGTGAGAGTGTGTATGTGAGTATGTGTGTGTGTGACTGTGTGTGTTAGAGTGTATCTATACGTGAGTGTGTGAATGTGAGAGTATGTATGTGAGTGTGAGGGTGTGTGTGTGTGTCTGTGTGTGTGCATCTGTGTGTGGTGTGTATGCATCTGTGTGACAGTGTGTTAGTGAGTGTATGGGAGTGTATGTGTGTGTGACTATGTGTGTTGAGTGTATCCATACATGAGTGTGTGAATATGAGAGTGTATACATGAGTGTGAGGGTGTATGTGAGTGTGTGTGTGTCTGTGAATGTGAGAGTGTGTGGATGTGTGTGAGTCTGAGTGTGTGACTATGTGTGTCAGAGTGGATCCTGATGTGAGAGTGTGTATGTCAGTATGTGTGTGTGTGTGACTGTGTGTGTTAGAGTGTATCCATACGTGAGTGTGTGAATGTGAGAGTGTGTATGTGAGTGTGAGGGTGTATGTGTGTGTATCAGTGTGTGTGCGTCTGTGTGTGGTGTGTATGAGTCTGGTAGTGTGACAGTGTGTTTTATATTGCGTGTATGGGAGTGTGTGTGTATGTGTGAGTGTGACTGTGTGTCTCATCTTTCAGAAAATAGCGCTAAGAAGGGGCTGGATACCGAGGGCCTGGGGACAGCGGATGGGGCCCAAGCTGCCCGAGGCCTCAGCCGGCCCTGGCCTCGGTACGGGTCGCTGCGTCGTGGCCGAGGCTCAGGTCTGCGCCAGCCCTGCCCCGAGTGTTTGGGTGGGCAGAAGGCGAGGACTGCTTCTCCCTTGTCCAGTCCGCCTGCAGAGATGCGAGCAGACTCGGTCCCGCTCTCACGGACCCTCTCTTCCTTCCCACAGGTTAAGCTCACTCCTCGCTGGACCTGAGACTCCTCCGACCTCGGGAGCTGAGGATGAGGTTCCCATGGGAGCTGCTGCTGCTGCCGTCTCTCGCCTGGTGCCTCGCAGGTAGCGTGTATTCCAAACTCCGCCATGTCAAGTCGGCACTGCGCCCCACCCACCCCGGCAAAGGGGGCCTTCCCGGAGGACAGCGGCAACAACCTGCTGACTGCCTGCAGGGCCCCAGCTGGGTGCTGGTGCCTTGCCTGCCTGGCTGGTGCCAGGAGAGTCCTGAGAGTCAGCGTTTAGTCTTAGAGTTGTTGGTGTCGTTTGTGCCAGTGCTCCGTGGCACAGAGAGATTGGGCAGTGACACCAACGGTTCCGTCTGCAGCCCTGGCTAGCTGATGTCTGTGCGTGTGATGTCTCTGTTGATGGCTCCTGGCTTTTGATGCATTGTACGAGGTTTAGTACCAGCCAGAACAGCAGGTGACGGGAGGTCTCTCCCACGTAGCCGTGGCCCACCATGCCACTGGAGAGGGTTTACAGAGTGCAGATGGCTGTGTGCTGCTTTCTCCATGGTCTGGAAGGCACAGGCCCTGTGCTCGTGTGCAGAGTGAGTGTCGAGTGTCGGGAGTGGAACACAGCTGGGGAGCTGCTGTCCAGGTTGACACGCTGTGTGGGGATTTCGAAAATGAAGGCGGATAACTTCTTTCGTTGTTCACGATGCTGGTCCACGAGTGACCCCTGGATATGTTTGTATTTTTACAACGTGAACAGAAGTGAGTTTGGACGCCCTGCTCCTCTGGCTGGGGTCTTCATTCCTGCCCTGTGCTGAGCCCTGCCCTGTCCTGTGGTCTGAGCAGGGCAGGCCCGGCTCCTGCTCTCTCAGAGCTCCTGGGGCTCCTGCAGGCTCTTGGCAGCTGGGATACAATCTGCGATGGCATCGAGGGGTCACCCCCTCCACGCCGGAGGCCCTGCCACGCCTGGGCCCTTCCCCTTGGCCTGTTGCTCCGGCTCTGTGAACCTGAGCAGGGGGAGGGCGGAAGGTCAGACTGCACCCCACCTGCCGTCAGCGTCACTAGCTCACTGTGGCAGACTCATCCTCACTGTGTTTTCCTGCACGTGGGTCGTCACTTTGTGCACGTCGCTGTAGCCCAGGTGGCCCCAGTGGAGCCGGTCGTGGCCTGACAGCTCGGTGGCTGGGAACAGGCTGGTGTTGCTGAGAGACTGCGCGTCCCTCCCTGGGTTTGGAACCTGTTCCCAGCTCGGGCTGCGCCTCAGCGGCCCTGTCTGCTTTCCTGACCCTCGCGGCTCCAGATCTTCCATTGCGAAGTGGGAGCTCACTGCTCCGAGTTTGGCAACAGCACCCAGGGTGCTGAGCCGACACCCGGGAGGGGAGGGGCTGAACCGCGCGGGAGCCGGCAGCCCCGTCAGTCACGGTCATGGCTAAGCTGGGGTTTGCCCCCACGCCTGCCCCTGTGGCTTTGGTGTTCTCTCAGCGTTCTGTGGGGAGCGGGGTATTGCCGGTCGTTCCAAGCCTTCTTTGTGAACTGTTTTCCATGACATTGATATTCCCTGCCATATGCCGCCTGTGGTATAGGTGAAGTCAGGCTTTAATTAATGTTTTTGTTTTCTTGCTATTTGTCTTGATTTCATTAATTTGCACAGCACTCGGCCCTCGGAATTCTGAACAGATTTCTGTAGCTGCTCATTCCGCTCCTTTTGGGCATCACCCATAACTTTTCCCTGCTTCCTTCGTCGTGGGTTTCTTGGCAAGTTTTTGGCCAGGACGGTATTTATAGCCGCTATGTTCAGCATGTTCCGTGAACCCCCAGCACGTCGCTCCCACGTAGGACCAAGGGTGCAAGCAGGCCTGCAGGTGGATCCTGCACAGGGGCTCCTGGGGCGGGCAGATCACGTGTGTGTGTGTTGAGTAGCCATTTACAGCCCCACGCGACCGCTCTTCTCTGTGGACAGACCGGCCAGATGCTAGACCCATCGTCAGAGCAGACAGCAAAAAGCACTCGCAGCGCTGGGACCAGTGGTCCAGCAGCTCCCTTCGTAAAGCATCCGTTTTGCTATTTCCACCAGCGAAGACCCCGAATTACAACAGCCCCCACCTAAAGGAGCCAGGAAGCGAGGTGGTGGAACCACGCAGCCGGGCGGGCTGGTGCCTGCGGGAAAGCGACACTGCACCGTGGCTCTCCCGTTTGTGGCCGTTCTGAGTCACAGTCTCCCCAGTCATTCTTTCTTTGCCATCGCCATCTTGCCAGTGACCAAAGTCCTCATCATTTTAGACAAGAAGAGCAGAAGACCTGTGTGAAGCACTCTGCAGGCTCAGCCACGCCCACTCACCCCCCACGGAGGCTTTGCTGCTGGCGACCACAGGGCCCTGGCACGGGCCCTTCCTCGTGCCAGGAGCTTCTGGGTGGCTGCTTTGCGTCTGTGCTGAGTGTCACCTCACTGGTGAGGGTTTTCCTGACCGTGGAAATAATTGAAACAGCAACATTCCCTTCTACCCCTCCACGGCTTAGTGGTTTTTTTTCAGAGTTCTTACTGACGTCTCCTAATTATAGTTTCCTTGCTCGCGGGTTCGTGTCTTTGCCTGCTGGATTACGCCCTTAATTAGGGCTTCCTTGGGGCGGATACAGCTGTCTTTCCTACTCTCTGCCCAATCCCTGGCATCTGGGAAGTGCCCGGCACCGGTGCCGTTCAGGGAATGTGCGTGGATTGAACAAATGCTGCTCGCTGGGCAGTCGCATCTCCAAGGGCAGCTGTGCCATGGACACAGCGTGCTGCGTGGTCACCTGCACACTAAGGGAGAGAGCCGTGAGCGACACCACCCCATGCACGCTGTCAGAATCAGCGTTAAGCGTCGGAAGTACCAGGTGGGCATCGGGAACCGCACAGCAGATGCTGGTGGGCAGTGCGCCCTCGCCTGCTTCAGAATTCACCTCCTCCAGGGAAGAGACTTCCCTCAAACCTGTCTCATGGTGCTCTCTGCAGCCCCGTCCAGCGGGCTGACATCAGCCAATGGGGCGTGGGAATCGTAGGCACGTGTCGGATTTCCCATGTTCTGCAGAGATCCTTCAGGACTCTCAAGGGGATTGTGTCCCGGTCACCCACGGTGGCTCCTTCTACACCTGTGCTCTTTACCCCTGCCTCCTGGGACCCCCTCCCCCCAAAACTGGCTGCACCCAAGTCCTCTGTTCAGCCTCTGCTCTGGGGGGAATCCAAGCTAGGAAGAGGCACACACCCATCAGAAGCTCCAAGGCAGCCTAGGCTTGGTCCCGCCAGCAGTCAAGAGGAAACCAGAGAGCAAGCAGCTTGGACCAAGGCCACTGTGAGCTACCTGCATCTGCAGGTCCCTGTCTGTGTGGGGGTGGACCTAGTATATGGGGCTATGAACACATCTGTACATGCACATGTACTGCTGCACACGTGTCTGATATAGTTACGTCTGTGGTATGCACACACGGCTATACACTTACGTCTGTAATATACAGACACTGCTGCACACTTAGATATGTAATGTACACACTCCTGCACACTCACAGCTGTAGTCCTGGATGCACACTCACAGCTGTGGTTGTGGGTGCACACCCTGCTGCACACTCACAGCTGTAGTCATGGGTGCACACACTCCTGCACACTTACAGCTGTGGTCATGGCTGCACACTCACAGCTGTGGTCATGGGTGCACACACTGCTGCACACTCACAGCTGTAGTCGTGGGTGCACACTTACAGCTGTGGTCGTGGGTGCACACACTGCTGTACACTTACAGCTGTGGTCATGGCTGCACACTCACAGCTGTGGTCATGGGTGCACACTTAGAGCTGTAGTCATGGGTGCACACACTGCTGCACACTCACAGCTGTAGTCATGGCTGCACACTCACAGCTGTAGTCGTGGGTACACACCCTGCTGCACACTCACAGCTGTAGTCGTGGGTGCACACTTACAGCTATGGTCATGGCTGCACACTTACAGCTGTAGACATGGGTGCACACCCTGCTGCACACTCACAGCTGTAGTCATGGGTGCACACTTACAGCTGTAGTCATGGCTGAACACTTACAGCTGTGGTCGTGGTGCACACCCTGCTACTGTTGTGTCTGCAGACAGCATTGTGCTCTGCAGCCACGGAGCTTCATTGTTGACCCTTTGCCAACTCCTCAGGCAGCAGCTGGCTGAGCACTTTTGCCTGTGGCATTGATTTTACACCTTGGTGTGAGGAGAGGGTGCAGCAAGTGGTCTTTAGAGACCCTTTCAACTCCAAGAGTCTGCAGTCCTCTCTGCACACAGGTTAGGGAGCTAACCCTGGAGTCCCCTCCAAGCAGCAAGGAGTTTCACACGGATCCCGGCCTCTCCATGTGTGACAGATTCTGTTCACATGGGCAGCATTTGGACGGGGGAGTGGACGGGCTGGTCCATGTGTTCCTGCGCAGCAGGAGGCGAGAGGCGTTTGAAACCCTCGCCATCGAGCGCAGACGGATGCTTGGCGCGTTCCCGGCCGATCTGGGTTCAGCGAGGCTAAATTTACTCCCATCTCCACGGGGCGGTTTACCAGCTTCAGCAGTCATCTGTCTTCAGAACGTGCATGCTCTCCCGACACACGCGTTCTCTTGATTTGCTCAGCTACTGTGGCAGCTGCGGGTGGGGTCGGCGTGGAGGTGGTGAGTGTTCACAGAGAGGGGAGCAGGAGGCACCTCCCGGGTCTGTGGTGGGAAAACATGCAGGCCATCGGCCCAGACCTGAGCCAGCAGGGCAGGGGCGCCCCATCCCCTGCACAAGGAATCCCAGGCTCACTCATGTTTTGTCGCTGAGATCCACGTGGGCTGTGTGTGGTTCTGTTACTCCCGGGAGTCCAAGCCCACAGTGGGAGCTCCCAGCATTTGTTGACTGATGATAAAACAGGTGAGCACAGTGTCGCCTCGTAATCCCAGGCCCCGCCCTCACATGCTGTCCCTTCCTCCTAATACCCCTGTGTCCCCCACCGTGGGCAGCTACAGCTGCATGCACTCAGGACCCCGAGTCGCGGCTGGAAGAGGAGCTGCCCCGTGCGCCATCATCAGGGCAGCCACACCTGTGTCCCCCACCGTGGGGGCCGCCTCAGATCTTGCCCA